TACAGGACATAAAACTGTTTCAGCATAAAAATAATAGCCATTCATGCTGGCAATCAATTAAATATGGGTCCTTGAGTACATTTCTAATTAAGTACCATTAACAATTGCTGTCTTCGTCCTGTTAATTTTACATACCCCACTGATGCACAAAACTGTGTTTTGTCCAAATGATCTACCCTCAACACATCCCTAATGACTCAGGCCTTCCTTTCTTTGCCAATTTGCTGACGTAAACAGTAGAGAAATGCAATTAGGCGAGTCCATCTCAGAGTTTCTAGATGCCTCTGCCTTCTCTTATTTTGTAGGTCACCTCTCCAATACATCCCCCCCAACACCCTAGCAAACCACACTTAGTTCTGGAATGGTCAGCTTTCTCTAGACTCCTCAAGGACTCTACTGCTTGGGCATATGAAGAGTGTTTTAGAAAGGGGACATCCAAATTGTGTGGCAGAGAATATAATATTTTGTTAACGTAGGTCCAGGTCTGGCCTAAGTTAGAGTTTTGAAAGCAGTTTCTTGAGATTCCATGGGTATATGTTAGGGTTTTCTTAGAAAATCCACCATTTTAGCTAAGAATTTCAAGAAATAATACTCTACCCTCTCTCCACATTCTTTGAATGAAATCCTATGATATTTTCTGAAGGGGTTCCTTGGCAAAAGACCAAATAAAGCAAGCAAAATGTGGGGCGAACCAGGAAAGAATGTTTATGTGTTCTTGTGTGTGGTACAGGACAGGTTGGCACTGAAGAAAATATAGGTTGACATGAATGGCTGAGGAGCTGCTCGATTTCTTTCCTTGAAGGGTAATTATTGACATTATAATTATAGAATAAGTTCTAAACCACAGAATACAGACTTGCATGTAAGACTCCTCTTACAACTATTTTACTTTCACAAATTGATTTTTTTCCCATTAATTTTGCACTGATCCTCAGAGTTAATCCCCAGGTCAAATTGCTTTATAATTTATAGGAAGCAGAAGGGAACTATCAGTGTGCAACAAGCAGGAAATTATTTCAAGCTATTTTTGAAAAATGAAAATATAATTTGAAGTGATTTTCTCATCCCACTCATTAATAGCTGTCTAAATATATAAAAGCCTAAGCAACCCACACGACTGAATGACTGAAACAACCAAATGACCAGCAGTAGCTATGATGTACACTGATCCAGACCTTGCTACTAGGGCTCCGACAGCCCCAAATCTAGTTTACCTGCATCCTGGACCCAGACAGGAGAGAGAAGGGAGCCCAATTCCTCGTGGAATCGGCTATGCCTCAGCTTGCTGCTGGGGCCAACTTCCCATGGTCCCTACCTCAAGCTGACCTCCACCAAAAGGCCCTCAATAGTTGGGGGGGAAGGCTGGCCAAACTCCTGCAGTCCCTCCCACCAGCAGGCTGGCCTCCCCAATAGGCCCCAATCACCAAGGGAACCCACCCATACACAAATTAATGCACTAGGCCTCTAGTTTATTATAAGAAAGGGGAAGCATGGTGGTTACATTTACAGAAAGGGAAATTGAAGCACAGACTAAGTAACCAGCCAGGGGGACCCAGAAGTCAGGGATTGCCAAAAATAGAACCCATTTCTTTGATTCTCAGGTCTGTGACCTTGATACTATGGTGGAGATATTCTGCAAGGCCATATAGATAGAATAAGTAATCACTAAACATGTTTCATCTTATATGATTAAAGCATAAATCTTGAAAACAAATTGTGTATTTTTTGTTTTGCACATGGTTGATAATCAATAAATATCTGTGTAATAAGCAGATGGTTGACAGTGTATTTACCTTGAGTACCAATAATTTGAAAAATGCATGTATAAGAAGTGAGCAGTGTTAACACAGAAGGACCAGAAGTTTCTTGCTACATATTTTTACTGATCTTCACAGATGAAGAAAATGAGATTTTTCACAAAGAACCCAATGTATCTACCATTTTTTCCATTAAAGGACAGCAACATGTATGAGTTGCAATGCTATTTATTATCATCTATCTTGAAATTATCATTTGTGTTTATTAAATGGAGGAAGAGAATTAAAGCAATCTATGATCTAAAGAATGTGTACTCTAAAAACAAAACATAAAAAAATGAAACAACATGTACTGATGAAGGGCTGCAGGCCTTAACCCTCCCTATGTAAAAGGCCCAACAATCATTCAATATTTTAAAAAGACAGCCAGGTAGATGGAGAGGTGATCACATTCCCGGAGACTCCCAGGAAGGACGGCCCAGTAGAAGCTGACTCACCACCCTCCTGCTCGGGGCATGGACGACTTGTCTTGCAGACAGCTGTCAGTCACTACCAGAGGGGCTTCTTGGCTTTTGTATGCATGTGAGTAAAAGCAGTCTTTCAACATCTTAGATTCTTCCTGAGAAAACGTGCAGTTCAAATCTGGAGTTAATATACCAAGACTATCTTTCCCCCATTCCCTCATGGGCTCCTCAAATCCATCTTTTCTGGCTCTTCCTTCCAGCACAGTTATGGTTCCTGTAGAGACCGATCTCCTTGCAGTGGGCAACCTTATCTAAACAGTATTTCCCTAGTCGGTACTAGCATCGTGGCAAAGCTCACCAAGGACTACAAGATCAAGACAAGCTGATTGCATGCATAGTTTTGCAGTCTTAGTTCAAAAGTAAGGTTCTAGAACTCTAATGGGAACTCCCAGGGAGGAGTCAGCTCTCTTATGTCCCACTATGCCCCACCCCAGCCATAGCCAACCCACAGGCCAAAACCACTTCCCTCCCATGACTGGAAACAAGCAAAGGGGACAGGTCACACAAACTGGAAGAGGGACTTCATCCCCTCATTACACACTTTTATTTGTTCTTACTTTTACTTTGGCTTAACATCTGTATTTCCTTCCTTTTTTTCTTCTGAAAAGTCATGTCATATTTTCCTCAATTCTACATCTGAGACCCGCTAAATTTCTATTTCTAGAGCACAACAAAATTACATTTTACTTTCCACACTTTGCGTTCACTTCTTAGAAATGTTAGCCAAAAATTATCTCTGTTGTGAAATAAGTCCTACGGTTCTTTCAAAATTTCTTACAAGTTTTGGGGTCTTATTTAACCCCAAATACTAGCTATAATTACAACCTTGCATTTATTTGGCTCTCTTTACCTTTCTCAAATGTAGGGTGTCTCAAAAAAAATGTATACACAGACTTTGCATAATTATAAAGGCAGTGTTTATTAAAATATATTTCATTTTCAAAATTGAGCTATCAGCTGTCAAGTGCTTTGGGATACCATGTATATTACTTCATTTGACCCTTATGTTCTCCCTGTCAAGTGTGTATAATTATCTTTATTTTATATGAACAAAAGCTGTGAATTATAAATGTGAAAGGTACTACAGGCTTCATGCCTGCCACTGAGGCTCATGTATATGCTGACTTGGAGTAAACTTAGGGATGTCTACTTAAAGTCTCTGCCGGTTTCTAAGGATGAGAAAAATCCAAAATTCCACTTCATTCAGTGTTAATAACTTACATTCATGTTATTAAAAACTCAAAAGAAATATTCTAATTCTGCTACTTTACCACCCAAATATGCAGAAAAGTAAAAGGGAGAAAGATTCTGCTGTATTCTTCTCAGCTCATCAGGTATGAGTTTAAAAGTAACCACTTTTTCCTCCTCTCTTTTATTCTTCATGTTTTATAGGAACAAATTTTAGGTGAATCCCAAACCACAATGTCATTCAGTTAACACATAGCTCAGCAGTTTACCACATTTGCTTTTTTAAAAGGAGGAATCTAGAAAATAAAAAAGAGCCACTTCTACCTGCTTATGGTAGGGTTATGTCTTGTTTGCTTTTTATCAAGCTAAACTTTCTAATAGCAATTCTCTCAAACATTCTGCAAGTGGAATTAAAAACTATAAAGGAAATATTTGGCATAATGACAATTATTGGGCGATCTCAATAATATCATTTTGTTTTACCTATCAATTCTACACCAAATTTGTCCATGAACTATCATTTGTACCATTGCTCTAAACCCGTGGTCGGCAAACTGCGGCTCAAGAGCCACATGCGGCTCTTTGGCCACTTGAGTGTGGCTCTTCCACAAAATACCACGGCCTGGGCGAGTCTATTTTGAAGAAGTGATGTTAGAAGAAGTTTAAGTTTAAAAATTTGGCTCTCAAAAGAAATTTCAATCGTTGTACTGTTGATATTTGGCTCTGTTGACTAATGAGTTTGCCGACCACTGCTCTAAAACAAACAGAAATGGAAAAAAAGCAGCCAGGACTCAGTCACACACTAGGTCAAGGGGACGCTGCAGAGTTAACAGAGGCTGGGGATATACTCATTCAGCAAATATGCTTTGGTATCTACTTGTGCCAGGCTCTAAGATGCAGAGGTGCTCTCCATCAGTTCAGAGCTTGTGGAGCTGACAATGTGTGCACATGGCCTGGCAGCGGTGTACACAAAGCGCTGTTATGATGGGGAGGGAGAGAGGAGTCAGAATGAAGTAGTCAGGAGGCTTCACAGAGAAGGCGACATAAGGGCTGAGCCTTGGAGGATAAAGGATGACTTCTCAGGAAATAGAAAATGGGTAGAAGCGCCTTTGAGACAGGTGGAAAGTATAAGCAAAGCCCATGAACAGTGGTGATGTTTGCGTTGGGAAGATCTCATGTGATAGCCAATGCTTAGAAGGTGAGAACGGGAAAGATCAGTGGTGGAGCCAAAGTCCGGGGTTCTCCACTGGAAAACAAGAGATTGGCATTCTAACTTGAATCCTAAACAATGGCTCACAGGGTGAACTTAATTCTGTCCCTGTGCTCCTGAAACCATAAACCAGAGAGAAAAATTAGAAACGGGTAAGGAAGAAGAATAGATATTGCCTACATCTTCCCGAGGCAAGCAAAGTCTTTGTCCCCGATATATTGTACATCCTCTCTGCAAACTCCCATCAGTTTTCATTAAAGAATCTTGAGTCCAGGTGACCAAAAATATGTAAAAGATATTCAAGAAACGATCTGTCCCTACCTTGCTTTTGAATGATTATGGTTACAGGGACGCCAGAGCCACTTGATCGTAGGTTGAGGAATACCATAAACGGTACAGGTCAGGATTTGTCTGCTGCCAAATGGATAGAGAATTGGTTCTGGTAGTGGTGACACAGCCTTTTCGTAAATCTGGGGTTTCACTGGAAAGGAGAAGAACAAGACAGAAGTCAAGAGCTGTTCTATTGCCTTGCTCCTGGGCCACAACCAGAAGGACCACGTTGTCACTGGTTTTGATGTTAGGAATTCAAAACATGAGCAAAAAAACAAAGAAACTCTCATATTTGTCATTATAATACCAATTTCTTAAAGCAGAAATGTTTTGAGAACATTAAACAATTTAATCCCATGGTAGATATGATTATGATAGTAATAGGCCGTATTACTATGGAAGTGAACAAGTATATATGAAATAGCTATTATGGGTGTGTAGGTGGTTTTTAAAATAATTACTTAAAATTTTGTTTTCTTTGATGTTGTTATACTGACTTTTCATTTACAAAATTTTCATTAATTTTACTCCTACCAAAATCAGGAGAAAGTCCGAACAGTAAACTTACCGTTTACGATGAGAGTGGTTGTGAGGTTTTTAACCACGTTTGACTGGTTTATGTTCAGCAAGACTGTGTAATTCCCTGTGTCCTCAGCAGCTACATCTTTAATAATTAACGAATAGGCATGAACAAAATAGCGAGCAGATTTCTCCGTGAGAGGTAACCCATCTTTTAGCCTGTGGTTAAACGGATGATCAGTAAGTCTGCATGATCACACTGCCATTTACATTTGTGAACTCAAATTTATGCATTTCAAGCCTTTGATTCTCAGCATTCATTTAAAAAAACTTAGATACTAACTTTTCAGTAAAACCAGGTGTAATTTTTATTCTTTTTTTTTTTTTTGAGATTTTTAATCGAATTTGAGAGAGAGAGAAAGGGAGAGAAAGAAAAATTGATATGAGAACAAAAATATTGATTGGCTGCCTTCTGCACTCCCCCACTGAGGATCTAGCCCCAAACCCTGAGCATGTGCCCTGACCGGGAATCTAACGCAACTTTTGGTGCCCAAGACGACTCCAACTGAGCCAGAGCCAGGTATAATTTTTATCTGGGAAACACTTCATATTTATTGGCAAAGAGAAATAAGTGAGCTGAGGGAGACAGAGAAATTAAGTAGTAACCCAGAAGTACTGGGCGATTCCCTCCAAGATATTTTCCATGAGGTTCCACCAGCAATACAAGGGCCATTGTAAGTCAGATCAACTAGATCACTTCTCCAGATAAAAATAAAAATAGACTTTTCTATTGTGATCTCATGTGGAGTTCTTATTAGCTATATAAATGGTCACAGCAGTTGTCCCTTTCAAAAACTATAGAGAAATCAAGTTTATCAAGATTTTCCCCCTGAAGAATAGGTAAGGCACAAAACTCATAAAAAAAAAGATATAAACTTTTTAAAAACTTTAACTTTAAATATAGAATTGATGCCTCGATAGCATGCAGCTTTCTACAGCACTGAGATCCAGGAGGCTTGAGCGGGGCCTGGCTCAGCCACTGTACTTGAGCACCTGACATGCCTGTGCAAGCCTCGGTTTCTCCAAGTTTTCAGTAGAATTTCTAAAAAATCTCTTCTAACTTTAAAATCCTGTAGCTTCATTAAACTGCAAGGTTTTTAAAATGAGCAGTTTTTAATCCATTAGGAGTGTATTGTGTTCTGTGTAAAGGTATATGATATTGGGAGTGGTTTTACTTCCTATCCATGCATGTACCACACAGGCCTGCAACAAATTCCTGTCACTAATGGGTCTCAGTTGCAAAGCACTTAAAGTAACCGTGCTCTGTTTTGTGATTACAAATGTCATCTTAGTATTACTTTAAGGTATTTCCTATTAACGAGTCAGTATTTTTAAAAATGGATTGATTTTTCTCTTTTGTATTAGGTCCCTGCTACTTAGGGACTGAAAACAAACAAACAAAAAAAAACCTGCTTAAGAAGTTTCTGAATATGCAAACTTAGAGCCAAAAAAAAACTTAATTAGTTCAAGTAGGTGCATTTGTCCACTCTTACAATGGAATAAGTCTTGACTTTATTAATGTTTGTTTGATTTTAAAACAAGAATGGTACTTTCACCCAGCTGTATATAAAATAATTATTTTCAGATAATAAAAGAATTATTATCCTCATCACAAGGGTCCACTTCTCCAGGGTTAATAGAGCATGTTATTTATTCACGAGGCTTCCTAGTCATTGCCAACACGTTCCATTCAGAGGATGTTGACATCATAGAAAGGTTTGGAGATGCAGAAATGTAGTCAGAGTGAATGAGTGCCTGAACTGCAATGAGCACCCAAAAGACCCTAATCCCACTCCGTGCTAGCACAGAACTGCTCTCCCTCCACCCCCCCACTGCCTACAAGCCTACAACAACCCTGCCAGGCTCAACACAGTTCTCAGCTCTCCACTGCTGTCTGGGGAACTTATCTTGATTATTTTTAGGGAATAAAGCCAGTGAGCTCCTGCAGTTTCAGACTTACAAACCTTGTCATGAACTGATAGAAAAATAATTTCAGTCCTACCATGCCACTTCCGGCGGGGGAAATGCCCTCACTTTCATCGCTAGCCGGTAAGACTTCTTGCCAGCTACAGTTTCAAGCACCGGCTGTTTTCGATGTTTCATGCTGATGAATGGTTCATCTTTGAAAGGAGAAATTATCAATATATTAGAAAAGGCTATATTTATGTAAACAAAGCAAAAACAAAAACACTAACTCACTCCCTCATTAAAGAAGGGTCTAAGCAATGATTAAAAATACAGCTGAATTATGGTCAAGCCTATCAATGAGCCCAAATAGTGATCAATGAATAAAACTTAAAAGTACCCTAACTGGTGAAAAACTTTCAAATCAAGTGGTTGCAAGTTCCAGAGGTATAAAAGCAGTGTCAGGCCAACAGAAAGTGGCCTTAGGTATCTATATCACAATACAAAAAATTTAAAAGGTACTTCTAAACATCTCCCCAGCCATGAATACACTGAGAGAAAGTTGCTCCATGCACCTAAAACAGCTAATCTGATATGAAAAACCAACTGGAGAAAGTAAAATGAGTATAAAAGGCATTGACAGAATTTTCCCCTAGTTTCTGCTCCCCATACTGTTTTTCGTTTCAACACTGGGGATGAATAAGGCTTTTGAGGGTTCTAAAGAGGATTAAGTATTTTCTTAAAAGAATTTGCCTATTGTAATTGATAAAAAAAAAAAAAGAGATTTCTTGAGAGTAAAACCAGGGATAAATGAGCATAAATTCTAAATAATTTACCGACAATATTTTTATTTCTCTAAATCACAGTAATACCTTAGAAATTTCCCCCTGAAAATAAAGTTAAAAATTACCCCATTTTTCTGTTTTGTTTATAAGGAACACTAAAAAGGAATTTCCTATAGATTTTAATGTGACCTAACTGAGTTATTAATAACCACAACAAATTTGTAAGGAAAAGATTCTCTGTTCAATTCAAAGCCATTTAGAGAGCACTTGGTGTGGTCTGCTTTTTGGCAGGGGGACGAGGAGAACAATGTTGCAAAAAGAAATTTACTTGATGTCTAGAACCCTCCCCCAAAGCACAATGGCCAGAAAGAAGAGCTTGAGCTGCTTACCATATACACGCACTGAGGTGTTCGCAGATCTGAAGGATGGGCCACTTGTCACATGACAGGCGTAAATGCCGCTGTCTTTGCTCTGCACTTTGTTAATAGTAAGAACACTGTAGAATATATTGTAATGGGGATTGCTTTGGTCAAATCGACTTCTTATAGAGGCACTCTTATTTGTCTAGAAATAAAATGTATAACAAATTATAAGTAGTAATTGTTCACGCTTAAAGTGGTAGCACTTCTTGGATTATTACCGAGATCAACATTTGATGTTGAGAAGCAAACCCACCTGGAACAAAAGGTTTGGAAATTACATCTCTGTCTGGATATTTCAAGTATGCACACAGTGGAATTTTTTGAGGACTTCCTCTTCTTTAGATGGACTTGCACATACATCATCTCAATAGTTTCTCACCACTACCTAGTTAGACTGGCAGGGTTATTGTCCTTTTACAGATGCATAATGAAGTGTCAAAGACACCAGCCAGAGAAGGTAAAAGTAGGTCTTTGAGCAGAAATCTAGTCTCACCTCCAGTACACATACCTCTCTAAACAGTAACGTATTCTCTAGGCATATATCTCACGCACAAACGCAGGCAATATCCTTAGCATCTGAATTAATGACGGTGTTTTTCTTAATAAATCACTGTGTGAGTTTTCTTCTGCTTCCTTACTTGAATTGAAGGAAAAGATAGCGAGTCCTGGCCACACCTATTAAGGTGTAACACTCCCAGCTTCATTATTTCACCATCTGAACAATGCTTGCCCATTTCTGCTAAATCACACCAAGTAGATCAGGGGACATACAAAACCTCACTTGGAGGGTGCTATTCCATGTTTGCTTTCAGGGGAGACCGAGAGCAGGCTGAGAGGCTGCGCTGTGACCTGGCCACAGTGACTGCTCTGGCTTTGAGAAGATGAGATCACATTGCCTTTTCCTTTCATTGTTTCTTCCTTTTTTTTTTTTTTTTTTTTTGCATTACATTTTATAGCACATAATATGTTATTTCCTTCTCTCAATTCTTCCTCATGAAGGGGCATGGAAAAAAGACTGGAAACTGTCCAGAACCGATCTTTGCGTCTTGAACTTGTCTCTTCTGTGCCATGTTTAATAATTTCTACCTACCTATCCTTTTATTGCCTTGTTGGAACAGATACACATTTAACTCATGTTCTTCATTCTCTACAGTAACTAGAGAGAAAATATCGCTCTTCAACATAAAAAATCTGAACTAACAGATTGAGGGGCTTTTAGCAACTTCAGTTATGGAGCTATTACTCTCCCTTTGAGAATATGTTCCTTTCCAAGTCTGAGTACCATCGATGTCATTTTTGCCTTGGAAAACAGCTGACCCTGTATTTCAGAACTGAGTTGTCCAGTACTGAACTACCAGCCACACGCTAGTGGTTACTGTATAGAATACAGAGATATAAAATATTTCCATTACAGGAAGTTCTACTGGACGGTGCCATTTTAGAAGGTTATTGTCTTTAAAAAGATGTACCATCACTCTCTTACTTAGAGTGGTAACACTAACAGGATAAAAGTTTCTCCCCTCTTGGCATTTACTCAGAACATTTGATTGATCAAGAATATTTGATTTCTATTAAAACCCAGAAAATATTGCTACAAGTCGTAGCATTTCTATTTAAATGAAACAATACCATTTTTTAGAAAATTCTTAGACTAATGTATCCCTTTTTTTTTATATTTTATTGATTTTTTACAGAGAGGAGGAGAGAGTGATAGAGAGTTAGAAGCGTCGATGAGAGAGAAACATCGACCAGCTGCCTCTTGCACACCCCCTACCGGGGATGTGCCCACAACCAATGCACATGCCCTTGACCGGAATCGAACCTGGGACATTTCAGTCCACAGACCGACGCTCTACCACTAAGCCAAACCGGTTTCGGCCTAATGTATCCTTAATGTGTTCCTACAGGGCACTTGTTATACCTTTTTATTGCTAAGTTATTCAATTTTCACAGCAAGAAATGCTGATGAAAAGCAATAGCTTGGGGCTGATGCATTAAACTTTCGCATATAATTTAATCATAAATGAACTTAGTGATTGGGTGATCTGAATAGCATAACAGATGACTGTACTTGGGATATGCCACATAACTAATACTGATACACAAGAAATGGAGGCTGGACCTACTGTCAAACATTTCTGAATAGTTTATTATAGGTTCTCCATCTACACATTTTAAAAATAATTGTTTGCAAGGATGTTTAACTTGTGTAAGGGAACCCAACTCAGTCTTCATTCTTCTCATTTTTCTGAAGGACAGAATTGCTCTTTGTCACTTAACAAATGGAGCACTGGATGACCGGGTTGTATTATCTTTTCCAAACATGCTCCAATCAGGAGCCTGACTGTCTGCGTTATCTTAAATTAATGCGCCGACAACTTTTTGTTGTTGTTGTTACAAAAGATAGTCCCTGCCTGGCATTAGTGATAAATTTCTCTCTCATCTCTAAATCCTAGAGAATGGTTTCCAGGATGAAACAATCCCTTTTTCCACTCAGAATCATGCAATAGAAATACCAGTCTATACACTTCAAAACAAAAACCTCTGGACATCAAAAGACCATATCTATGCCTACCAGATTCATGAAATGCCAGGCAAGGAAAACACTCACCAAACCCAAAGCTTCTTTATTGACTCAAACTGCCATAGGAGTCAAATATTCTGATTTCCCCATTGCAAAAACACAGTGGCATTCACTTACTAAAACTAAATCCCATTCTACAGAAGAAATAGAAAAAGTGGTCACTCACTTCACCAGGGTAAGTCCAGTTTATTTGAACTCTCGTATTGAAGGATGTGGTGACAGTACAGTTGAGGGTCAGAGTTTGACCTCTAAGTAACTTGACAAGGCCTGGTGTGCTCATTTGGACATCTAAGATTGTAGTGGCTGCAAGTATAAGAAATAACATTTAAAAAAAATCAAGGTGTCATTAAGCAGATTAAACCCTTGAGCGTTCTTGTTTATGTTCATGCCTTTGGCACATCACTTACTTTGTCGATATGTGAGATAGTGTGTCTGGTACAAATGTCCGTTGACTGTTGCCTCACAGGTCAGAAGGCCAATTTCTTTGTATGTTGCATTTGAAATTAAAAAGCCCTTCCTACTGTCCCAGATTATTCTTTCTCCATCAGGGATCAGAATCTGAAATGGAACCTGAAAAGGAAGGAACATGCTTTAACAAAATCATATTGACACCGTGGCAGTAGTGCTCACCAGTAGGTTTTGAAAACATAATTTTCATCTAAAATACAAATAGCACAGGTAAAAAAAAACATCCAGTTTATTATAAATGGGTCTTCAGTTTTCTTTATATGTAGCAACTTATATATTTATTATGATAAATTAGAGTAATTATAATAACTGATTATCAACCTTAGCAACAAGCTGCACCTACCCAGGATGGGCCCAGAGGTCAGGTCAGACTTCTAGTGGGAACCCCTGTCTCTTTGGCCTCTGAGAACCTTAGTAATAAGCTGGCCTGATACCCAACAGAGAAACCAATTAGCGTGTTTCCACTGGGGCTGCCAGGATGTCCTCATGAATGTCTTTATCTGGAACTGTTAACAAGCTGTAAGTTGTCCTTCTATTTTGCATGATTCTCTAGAGGCAACAGTCTTTAAAGGACTGGATCCTTCCAGATCCTCCAAGGTTCAGAGCACACACTGGGGGTTGTCATTCTGAGAAGGCCAAAGGCACCGACTGCCTCTGGAGGGGACTTCTGCCCCCTCCCCAAGTTGAGGCTGCCAACAGTGAAGACAGCTGCCAGCAGATGTGGAGGCCTGAGGCACTGTGATGGCTGGAGTGCTCTCCAATTCTTTGAAGCGCTCCCAAGCCCAGTGAGTCCAAATAGAAGAGAAGAATCCAACATCTGATTTCCCCTTATGCCTTCTTGTAGGCCCCAAGGACTTCATTTTGAAAGACTATAGTATAAACAGTCTGCCTTGGGATTAGACATTTTAAAAGATCAGTGCTCCACAGAAAGGCCTGGCCCAATCCCCGGATGCCAGGTTGCCAGCCCCGGGCAGGGCAGTGCCTACCTCTGACTGCCACTATTGTTGTCCCAACTTGGAAAAGGGAAAACAACAGATTACCTAAAGGAAAGGCCAAACCGCCAGGAAGAAGTTTCGAATCTTTTCTATCTTCTTTTAAAAAGCGTACCTTACATCACTCTGTCCATTTATCATTTGTTTATATTATTTGTTGAAGAAGCTAATTTGGCTGGAATTTGTGGTCCTGGGGCTGAATTTCTATCCCCAAAGTCACCAGTGCCTCTCTCCCAGTGAATGTCTGGATACGCAAGTATGTTACCTGAGTGTTACTTGGGTTTGAAATCAATGACATTCTGCTTATGAAGAACTGAGAGAGACTGAAGGGTGCATTTCATGTTTTAGTAAATCAGGATCCCTCTGCAAACTGAGGGATGCTTTGCATTCAGTTGGGGGGAAAACCAATATTCTAACTTAGTGCAAACTATGAAGGAAAAATATCCGAAAAAAATTAAGTCAGGGGTTGAAATCATGATGGTTTAATAATATGTGAAAATGTGCTGAATCTGAAAGATGGGTTGCTGACAGATTTCCGCAGCACAGCTTAAAAACAGTAAAATTCCCTCTGAGGTGTTTATCTTATTCCAATCTATCCATTACTGCCACCAGTAGGGTTTCATTGACAAATTACTTTATTTCTAGCTGTCAAGAGCTAAAATAGCAAAAGATTATGTCTCATCAGCTGCGGCAGTGGCTGCACATATTATAGAGGCAGGAGAATGGGGGCCTTGAAAGAAAGGACTGACGGAGGCCGGTCTCCAGCAGGTGATGGCTCTGAAAAAGGAGGCACAGGAAAGGAGAGGGAGCAGGTGGTAAATGGAAGAAAAGGCCCGATAGGAGAAATGGAAGGGACCTTATATTAATTTTATGTCAATATATATATGTAATAGATTAGATCATTTTCAGTAAACATGTGTCAAACCAGAATTTCCGTTAGAGCTTCTCTCTCTCTCTCTCTCGCTCTCTCTCTCTCTCTCTTTCTCTCTCTCTCTCTCTTTCTCCCTCTCTCTCTCTCCCTCCCTCCCTCTCTCTCCCTCTCTCTTATTGAACTTAGGTAAAAAAATAGAGTAAATAAAATTTTACATGTGGAAATTTGGGAATGTTCCTTGCAGCAGATCTGCAAAAAAAACAGGAGGCTTGCATTAAACAGAGAAGTTTCATATCAATCACATAGCAATTGACATATCAGACTAAGAGGAGTAATGCCATCTATTGAAAACATAACTTGATAGTAATCCAGTATTGAGTATTAAATAATACAATTGCTCACCCTTGATTAGGGCTTACGTGCACCTGGCATTGTTCCATGTGCTTTCCTTAGATGACCTCATTTGGCCTTCCTAACAGCCATGTGAGGCGGGTGCTGCTGCAATTGCTCCCATTTCTAAAACGAGGACACTGAGGTAGAGCAAGGGTTGGTCACCTGCCAGCTTGTCCAGCAGGTAAGGGCAGAGTGGCAAGAAGCCATGCAGGGAGGCCTGGGACTTTGTTCTTAACCACACGGAGCTTCCTCCAGTGCAAATGAAGCAGTTAGAGCAAGGGCGCTGAGGAAGTCTGGCTATGGGTCCCTTTCTCTCAGGTTTTTTTTTTTTAAGGCCAATGGAGTTAGACTCCTCTGCTATTTCCAACTCTGACACACAAGGATTTTATATTTTCTGGCAACGATGCACAGATGTAATAGAAGCCCAAACCTGTCTCTGACGGACTGTAATGAAGGCTTAAGTGAACAACATAGGAGAGTGAATGCAAAGGAAGACAACAGGGAGATAGATGCCACATCACATCTCAGTGCCCAATGTCCCTAGGGGATACTGCAAATTACCCTAAACTTCTCTAACTGACCATCACCACACACACACCCTGAGTAACTACTATGTGATGAGACATCCTTAACTTTTTCTCTTAAAGCTCTAAGCTCTCCGGATCCACTAGTTTTTTTTTTTCTTTTTCTTTTTTTTTCTTTTCATTTCCCCCCCCCCTCTTCTTAGTATGATAGCTGTTATTCAATTCTTAGTCTTAGTGTGTTCCTAAACTCCTGTAGCTGGTGAATTCATGGGACTGCCACAGTTAACCATTTGTTTTTATTAATTTTGACCTTAAATCTTTTTTTCTTATCCTCATGAACATCTTACAGAATAATAGGAAGAAAAATCTCATTTATAATATTATTTTGTTGGCCCCTCCCCACCCCCAAGAGGCTACGTTTGGATGCCCAGCAGGAGCAAAGCCTTTTGTTACCAAGTATTTCCTGGCTCAGGCCAAAGGTGGGAGCTGGGTGGGCGCCTGCCTCACAGAGCTGTCTTTAACGAAAATCTGCGAATCATTTGTGTAAGCAATAGCATTGCTTTTTCTCACCTTTGCCGATCCTTGGATTTGTGGCAAATACAAAATTTTTTTATGATTTTAGTTCTTTCATTATTCACATTGATTTATGCTTAAGACATGATAATTTTATTCCATTTAAATACGTGCATGGGCCGGGACCAGTTTGGCTCAATGGATAGAGCGTTGGCTTGGGGACTGAAGGGTCCCGGGTTCGATTCCAATCAAGGGCATGTACCTTGGTTGCGGGCATATCCCCAGTAGGGGGTGTGCAAGAGGCAGCTGATCGATGACTCTCTCTCATCGATGTTTCTAACTCTCTATTTCTCTCCCTTCCTCTCTGTATAAAATCAATAAAATATATTTTAAAAATAAAAAAATAAAAAAATAAATAAATACGTGCATGGTATAACATGTAGTACTCATGCTATATGGTAAAAGGATGTGATTTAAAAGTCCACCAAGAAGTCCAACTGTCTATAAAGAAAAAAATCAATTAATTACTATGCTCATTTGCAGTAAAAATATTCTGAGAATAGCATTGCTTAACTTTACCTTTTTTAAAGTAACAACGATGTCAGGTGACGACACCCGGCAGGGAATGACTAACGCCCTTCCTTCAGTCATAAGTATCGGTTCAGGTAGTTCACTGTGCATTTCCAAGAAAGGTCGACTTGTATCTGAATGAGAATAAAATGGAGAAATATATGTATACATCAATGATTATGTTACAAACATCTAGACCCCATAGCTGGTGAGGCAATATGGAAGCTGCCACAATACATCATTCCGTAATGTAATCCACACATTTACATTCTTATTTATTTATTTATCTTTAAACTCAGGTCTTGGCCTTCTGTTAGATTGCCCAGATGACCTAATATGCAATTGTGATGGGGGACTGGTATGGGGAAAAGCTATAAAAATGCAAGTAAAAGAGAAAGGAGAATATTCTGTATAAACTCCTCACCACAGCTATGCTAAGTGCTTCAGGAAGCTCCTCTAGAGCCTTTGTAAGAAGTCAAAGGAAGATGCAATGATCAGCTATCTCTGGAGCACAGAAGACACAGAGATGATGGGAAGGTGTCAAGTTGAAAAGTGATTAGCATTTGAATGACCAAAGCATTGAAGGTTAGGGGGTGCGAAGAGTCTGGAGTAGTGGTGGGGAATACCGCATTAATTCCACACTCTTAGAGGTCTGTGTCTTCGGTATGCACCACTTCTCTACTAACAGAAAATGTGAGCAAGTGCATGGAAAGAGGTCAGAAAAGGGCTTTAAATCATCACCAAGATACTATGCCAGTCTCAGAGGCCATTAGGACTCAAGCCACCTGCTTAGCTTCTCTGTAATTCTTCTAGGGACAAGAATGAGCATCAGATTCTATTTGAAACACCTCACATGTATTCATTCCCTTGCCCTTGGAAATCCACTGACAGTGATCTCTTCAGGAGTTATTGAGTTCTCATCTTCTCCCCTTGGTTTCAGCCTGAGATGCCCAGATGAAAAGAAGGCCTATGTTATTATAGATCTCTCTGTCTGGACCTGAAATGAGTTGAGGAAGCTCATTCCGGATGCTGAGTGAAGAATGAATTGGAAAAACTAGAAGTAAATTGACAATTTACTTCTCTGGCTACACACTGGTAAGTAGAGAATGGTTGCCTAGGCTCAATGGTGGCTCCAGTGATTGTTATGGGTTGAAGTGTTTCCCCCAAATGGTATGTTATAATCTCAGTACTTCAGAATGTAACCTCATTTGGGTCAAATGAAGGTTATTGCCAATGTAATTACTTCATTTAAGTAAAATGGGCCCCTGGCCCAATATAACTGGTGTCCTTATAAAAAGTTGGCCATTGAATGCCATGTGAAGACAAGGGCAGAACTGGAATGATGAAGCTTTAAGGCAAGGGAAGCCAAGGACAGCCAGCAACGACCAGGAGGTCAGAAGAGGTATGGAAGGATGCTCCCCTTCAGGTTTCGGGGGAACATAGACCAGCTGACTGATAGATCCTCCCTTCCCCCAACTGATGGATGGAGAATGACTTAAACTCCACCTGCAGCCGGACATTCCTGAGCACTGAACCACCAACCAGCACCTGCCAAATACCCTAAGCCTTCGATTACCAAGTCCCTAGGTCCCTAATCATATGCCGTACATGAAACCACCAATCAGCGTGTGCTGAGTGCCCTAAGCCCCACCCCTTTCTTTCCTCCCCTTAAAGGTGCCTGAACTCCAGACCTCTTGCTCTTTCTCCTCTGGAAAGCAGCCGACGCGGTACTCTCCTCCAGTAAAGCCACTCTCCAGCCCCTCTCTTTCACCTTTCACTAACACCTTGACTTCAGACCTCTAGTCTCTAAAATGTGAGACAATAAATTCCTGTAATTTTAAGAAGGAAAAAAAAGTGCCATTGCTGACATTGTGGTAAGCCTGCTGAGAATTCTCCTGCATTCTCCCCAGCATTCTCCCATCACCACACTTCACACACTGACTCTGAACTGGCAGTTTACTTCTCTGGCTACACATTGGATGATGAACTCCTAGAGGAGAGGAAATAGAGGCAAGATTGCTTAATGTATAGTAAATGAATGAATGAATGAGCCAATAAATGAACGAAGGACTGTATGGCCCCATCACTTTATAGATGAAAAAACAGAGGTGTAAACAGATGAAATCAATTGTGTGGACATGAACAGAGCCAGGCCTGGAAGCCAGCTTCTCCTTGGGACTAGATAACCAGCCTTCTCTTGAGGGAGGGCTCCCCACAGGAAGGGCTGTATGCGGCAATTGTTTTTCAGAGACAGGGCTGATTTTCACATGTTCCAGGGAAAGTATGTGGCATGCCATACTTTCTAGACTTAGAGGAATTTTGAGAAGAAAACAAGGCAGCTTCAGGTCAGGGCCTTTCAGATGGAAAGATGGTTATTAGATCATGGTGATTAAAAGTACACACTTTACAATATGAGTCTGAATCCTGGCTCTGCCCCTTACTGGTTGTGAGACTGAGTAGATCATTTTATCCTGTATCTCGCTCATAAAATCTACTTTAAAGGGTTAGAATGAGGCTTAAATGAATTAATGTATGTGCTTAGAATAGTGCCTGGCAGATTAGCACTATATATGTGTAAGTATTATTATTATGAGAAATTTTAACTTATTGGACAGAAGGGGTTAGGATAAATAAAAATCTCAAATTATACTCATGATATTAACTGTTAATTATTAAAAGTTATATTCATTATATTCATATAATGGCATCAAAAAAAGACAAAATACATATATTAAAATGTTCATTATTATCTTTGAATAGGGGTTTCATTGGTTATTTTCTCATTTACCTTCTTCTGTATTTGTCAGTTTTCAAGAATGATTGTGTATTACTTTACAATAACATTTTTGAAAAAGATTTTTATTTTATTTTAGAGAGAGAAGAAGGGAGAAGGAGAGAGAAACATTGAGAGTGAAATATTGATCTATTGTCTCCTGCATGCACCCTACTGGGAATTGAGGCCACAACCTGGACATGTGCCATGATAGGGAATCGAACCTGCAACCTTTCAGTGCAGAGGATGGCAGCCAACCAACAGAGCCATGCTGGCCAGGGCTATAATAACATTTTCAAGTATTGAATTTAAGTCTCAAATTATAAAGCACCATCCATTTTTACTTGAGGAAAAGTATAAAATTTGCATCTGATTTAGTTTTGTCCAATATAATAGGATGAGATATTAGCCATCACGTGTCTGTTTAGGAAAGCTCAGTGCGTGCAATAGCATATACAGGGAGGAAAAGCTAATTAACAGGGACAAAAATTCATCATCAGCACAAAATTCACCTCCTAAATAAATTTGCTGAGCTAGACAATTGGGCAGAGGCTACTGGTATTTGAGCATTCTTTTCCTTCCTCCTGTGAATATATTTTTGTCTCCTTTGTGAGTCCCAAGGTAAACACAAACACCAGAAAATGGTTTAATTCATGTAACTAAACTGTAAATCATTCATATTTAATTTACTGTCTCCTTAAGCAACCATTTTCAACCAAGGACATTGGTATAAAAGTTCTTGCAGGAAATAGTAAACATTAGCATAATCACTTCTAGGCTAATGAATACCAATCCCAAATGAAAATATAAGAGGTTAATTCAATGCGCCTTTGGATTTCTTTTTTTCTTTGTCACGTTAGATCCCCTAAACATTTGAATTTTATTACAGCTATTGCCCTTCAAAATTCAATACCAGTTTCAGCACTGGGCCCACTGCAATTCTGTTCAAAGATGTCAGAACCAGTGAGTTGGGTTTATCCTAACATAATTCAAAACATAATTTGTATCCACTGTGTTTGCAAATAAGCTCATGACTAGATATAAACACACGCACTCACAAACAATATTATTTGGGCTTATTAATAGTATATTTCCTCTGCAGTTTGCTTCAAGGAAGGGCTAAGAATGAACTTGCCTGACATATTAGAATACAAACATTTTTTGTTTTGCAGGATCATAGATACAGAAGAGGTCACAGTTCCATTAATATCACCAGTAAAACCACTTACTATTCCCATAGGACACATTTGTCTTTGTCACAAAATTAAAAATGACTTCCAAATCCAGCCACCACTGCAGAGTGGTTTCCTGAGACCAAATTGGCTAGTTGTTGAAAGAGTGAGGAAGAGCTACTCCAAAGATTGCCAGTGTCCCTGCGGCTCAGACACACTGTCACCAGGGACTCATGCCAACACACTGCTAGGTAGAGGTCACGCCACTCTCCTGTCCCTGAACTACTGAAGCTCAAAGCAGTGACAGGAAACTTGCACAGTAGATGAGGTTTTCTCATCCAATGGGAGTATCTGGGCTGTCACCCTTCAAAACAAGTGGGCTCAGACACAGGGAAAGATCAAACAGGGACCCTTGCTCAGGATAGTATTACATCTATTTTTTTTAAATGTATTTTTTTTCTTCCTTTTGAAATCTATAATACTCTGGCACATTAGGACACACAGACAGAGGCCCCAGTGTGTCATCCTCACTCTACTCTGTTCACCACTGTCATCAACTAGAAATTCTTCTAGTAGGTTTGGAGCAAGTGAATGATCCAAAAAATTCAGGGGGCTTTTCTGACTTGAGGGGTTCAAGAGTAAATATCTTGTTTATTAGTACTTTTTAAAAAACCTTCATCTGAAGATATGCTTGTGTGTGTGTGTTTGTGTGTGTGTGTGTGTGTGTTGTTTTGTTTACTAATTTTAGAGAGGAAGAGAGAGAGAGAGAGAGAGAGAGAGAGAGAGAGAGAGAGAGAGAGAGAAATAGAGAAACAGAGAGAATCAATCAGCTGTTTCCTGCTTCCCTACCAGGGATCAAATCCACAACTGAGGTATGTGCTCTGACTGGGAATCTAGCTTGCAACCTTTTGGTGTACAGGACAATGCTTCAACCAACTGAGTCACCTGGCTAGGGACTAGCACTTGTTTATTCCTATGACATTCATAAATGTTTCCTGATTTCTTTTTCCTTTAATTTCATTTTCCTTATCTTTCAGTTGTGGTCATAAGGACTCCTACTTATTTTTAAAAAGGGTGCGTTTTAAATTTGTTTAGGATGAAGTGAAGAGGACAAGTAAGCAATTAAGCAATCCCATGAGAGAATTCTATCTAGACACAAGAGTTTTCACATCGCACAGGTCTTTGTGTT